GAAATTCAAAACATTCTAAAGTGTGGTACTGAGCGGAAACTTCCTGAATAGCCGAAAACGTGATCACTTTACAATGCTGCTGCTAATTTTTCTTCAATTACCAATTTACATCCAATCGTCCAAACCGCTTACCTTGAAGGCAGATTAACATGTTTTTGTAGCGGTGAGCTAGCAGCTGAGGTCCCTAGTTTAGAATGAATTCGAAATGGTCTGCTTAATGAAAAAAAAAATTATTAAAGTGTAAAACTCCAACGGAAATGTTTGATAAACCCTAAATTTCGATAGAGATTTGTTGAATGACTATGACAAATATTATAGAATCAAATACTATAGAAACGTGTTGGTGGTTGAGGTGAGGAAAGGGGGGGGGGTCGCAATCGTCACGGTTGGACCCTGCAAAGGGATCGCAACTGGACCCCCTCCACAGGGGGGCAGCAAAGTTCCCGAAAATGTTTGAACGTGACGGTTGACCCTGCTTGTGCCCTAACCCTATTGAAAAAAGCCTAATGGCTAGGGTGAATGAGGGTCGAGGAATTCCTCGACCATGGCTCCCTACTATGGAGAAAAGTGTCAAGAGTGAATGTATACGCGGAGAGCAGAGACGGCTCGCGGGTGACGAGAGCGAATATCTGAAGAGCGTGAATGAACATGCGAAAATCCTCGACGAGCCGTTGCTGTTTCTCCGACCGGTTTTCGCCCTGCTAAGGCTCTTTCTGTTAGTGACACTTAAATACATATAAGGGCAATGAGAAAGGCATGTTAAAAGCTGATTTCATCAATACTGCGCCTCAATGGAGCTTACTTTTCAAAGTTTTTGTCATCCTTGGATCTTTCAATGCCCTACCGTCCCAATATTAACTTTCAATCGAGTCTTCGAGATTGGCTATGATCAACATATCTGTTGATAACAGTAATGAGTAATTACGCTGGTAAATCGAAACGGTGCAATTTCGAAAGATTCTGTGCTGTGTCAATGCAATCTTTTGAAATTGCAACGGTCAATCTGATTTTGTTTTTTAGTTCGCTATGGAGCTCTCCAATTATCGCAGTTATATACGTCATTGTTAATTAGTGTCATACTACGTAAAGAAAGGAGGGAATGCAATGACGAGGCGGCACAGAATCGCACTTCGGGGCTCCGAACCATGAGAAAAATTTCAAACTTTCGAAGGGTTTCAGGCTTATGGAAGCTCTAGTGATTTGGATCATTCACTTCTTTACAATCAACTCCTCACATTGAACATCCGGTGCTATCGCAAGAGACGCGAGCATTGTGGTAACAAGATTTTTTTGATATGGCTGAACATCTATTTTTTATGCACGGGACTGGCAACTAGATTTAGGACAAGATCCAGGGTGCGTTACAATTTTCATTTTCTCCGAGGTCCTGTCCCTCCTAGGCTCAGTCAGAGGTTGCCCCTGTGCTTGCGATTGCATGCAAAGTAGTCGCATTGCTAACGAATACAATTCAAACACATTTCGGGTTACATATCTTTGCCGTTGTTATAAAGATCAGCATGTTAGGAACTGAACATACACTTCTAGAGGCGTCCTGATCTGTGCTATGTAGTTACATGAATCATTGTTCAGTATTTTGGTGAGCCAACCTTTGGCTGCTGAACAAACCTTGTGAATTTCTTCTCTGGGAACCTTCTTCCGTAAGGCATCACTGCTGTGGGGCCTTTGCCAAAGAGAATAAGGCCCATGAAAGGGTGTTCAGCAGAGCACATCTGTGAACGGTTATGTTAGGGCGCTCTCCTGTTTCGTTCAACCCCATTGGCGCTTTCATTTTTCTCAGCCAAATACAGATTATGGCCCGTTCGGCCATTAACACATTGATTCGGCCCTACAGCCTCTTGATGACTACTGCTTCTGTTTCGGTTACGGTAGATAGAGAAGCCCTTCATATTCTAATCCATAGGTGAGAGATACAAGTCATGTTCCTCGGAAAAACGAATGGAATGCATAGAAAGGCCATAACATCAGGCAGGTTAAAGGATTTCCATGGACCTACGTCAAACAAGAAGAGTCAGCCGTAAAATTCCCTCGCCTTGTTCCTCACAGCAGGCGTCTTCACCAAGGCCATGAACGTTATTGAAAAACTTAGCCGTATCGTACAGGCCACTAGAAGACGGCTATCGATCTCAACGTGTGGTATGATAAATTACCGTATCCGCGATAACTCAAACGAAACGGTAAGAGTGGCTAAAAAGAAGCAAGGTGAATGAAGATGCAAGAAGGAAAACAAAAAAGGCGCAGTCTAATGAACTCGACATCGTCCCTAACGGAGCCTTTTATAACTTTTGTTCCATCCCAGTCTCTTCATCACCCCATAAGATCAGTGGGGCCGTTAGATTTTGTGATGAATTAAATGTTTTGCAGTTCAATAGCTTGACGCGAATCGAAATATCAATTCGTGATAATGGGTGTGTTCGTAAAATCGTCAAAAAATGTTCTGCATAGGATTTTCTCAAGGGTTGCATCGCGAGGTTGTACATGTACACGCTAAATTGTTAATTTAATCTTAATACACTGGGAAGCAGGGTCGCACACCACTCAATCCACCCAAAGGTGCGATCAGCTCAAAGGTACACAACTGCTTGGCACTAGATTCACATGGGATGGTAAGCATCCCTATCCAACCTTACACAACTCCCGCGATACATGTTGTGGATCCACAGCGTTCCAAAAGCTGTGGCTCTGAGAAAATGGCTCTTCGAATGCGTGACGTATTTGAAACCCTACTGTTCGCGAAGTAATGGCTACCAATGCTTGCTCCCATACATATCTTCGAATTTGCACATATACCGATTATTGTGGAATGTATAGAATAAAAGCAATTGCGGCCGTTCCCGCATGCGTGATGGCCATGTCTAGATCGAATCTCGTCCAAGCCAATCAGGCCTTCCATTTCTTCAAGATAGGCTTGCTTCCACGCAACTCGTCCACAATGATGAAAACGATACATTTTTCCTGCGCATTCGAACTTACTGGCTGAATCGTCCTCAAATACGAGTCCTTTGTATAAATAAAGCTGCGATGCCATGCCTAGAAGAGACTGATCAACGACCGATGCTCCATTTTCATGCTTCATATAGAGCCTGCCCCATTAGAGCTGAAGAGTACTCTTAATCTTCTGTGATGTGACAACCCCAAAAGGATCAGCTTTCTTTGAAGCTCAACTCCTTGAGCCAGAAAAAGACGTAATAAGTGATGTTGTTTTGGAGTAGCGCTTGGCATGAGCCGTGCATGAAAGAGGCTGACCTGATTAACTACACTTGTTTTGCTCCTAGCCTAGGAGATAATGGTCGCCTGCTTCCAAGATGACGTCATCTTTATAGTAATTTTCTTTCTAAATTTCAATAGGCAAAGCCGACTTTGTGCGATCCAGTTGTGGTTTCTTACTGAACATCATAAGTCATTCATGCGCATAAAGAATTCGTAGCCACTACTACCACCGTTAGCCCATGGGTCATATCCTGTTCAAGCTAAACAGCCTCCAACCGCTTAGGCTGATGAAGTCCCGACTTTAAGCTTATTACGAACGGTAGTTATCTAGCCTGAAGTTGCGGCTAACGCGCTATTTTGAGCAGCTTGCAACGTAAAGATGTAGTTTTTTCCGATGAATCAGGAACCCCCTCTAGAATGCCCGGAGACCTTTCCGAAAAATTGTGGAGAAGCCCTTTCAGGTGAGGTACGCCTCACGTCAGTCGCAGGCAGGATTTGAGTCACACAGATGCGGACACGGGCTTGATGGCAGAGGAAGGAACGGCGATGGGCGAAATATAAGGTGGCATGAAGAGACACAGGCGATGCTCGTTACGCGCACCAAAAAGTCCTCCAGAGAACTTTCTACTTCCTGTATAAAGAGCAAATGTGGTAGATGAGGAAGAGCGATCTAGAAATAGAAGCATTCCGACGCTTGTGCCGTATTTTTGCACTAGGCACACTGGCTCATAAATGGCGCAGTGCCACCGTTCCGTATCGATACTGCCGAGATATCGGAATGTCATTTCCGAGGGCAGCTTGTGTTTTTAAAATCACCATAGGCTATTCTTTTGCCATCATCATCTCTTTCCAAATCAATCTTGAGAGCTCATGGTGTAGTGATATCGTTTCCGTCTGTAAAACATGAGTCCGGGGTTCAAGCTCTAAGAAGGCTCAAGTTTTGCAGGTAGTAAGTGTTCACTTTGAACCTGATTATATCCCAAACTTATCAGTATTCTTTCTCAAATGCGGACCTCTGACAGCCATTCGCAACAGCCACTTTGGGGTAATTTACTGCTGTCTCAAGTCCAACACTTGCGTAAGCCAAATGCTTATTCAATCTATATCAACAACTAATTTTGTCGGAAATCGAAATCATTCCGTACATCAATGGGGTTGGAAAGGAATCTGTTCAAATCATAATTTATAGTGTACAGTATATTTAAAGTAAGGGCCAGTGGGGATTAGATAGTGCACCACTGCCGTACGGTTCGTAACATTACTACCCGTCAAGTTGCTGATTCGACACCTCTTTATCTTAAGAAGAACCATAAGCCGGCGTCAAGCGTTGGCTCTACCCATGTCTCAGTTGTGGCCAGAAGGATTGTTGCGATCAATTTACCACGGCCATAGTTCTTGGACGAATGCTGCACCGAAATCTGCCTAGGGTGACAAATCTTTTACCCTCGGTGAAATTTTGCTAGGGTCGCTCAGATTGCATCAGGGCTGACTATTGAGATTTAAACACTGACTAGTCCTTCGCTTATGAATAGCCACTGCCATCACATGGAGGAGCCAGTAAAGGTTCCGTAGGCGCACTTTACCGATTCACAAATCACTGCAAATTGATTACAACTGTTGCAAAAAGGGTGCCTAAGACAGGAGTAGAACCTGTGACGCAGGGTCAGAACATGAAGCAATACTGACCACTATACTACCAGGTCCTTTCAAGGTGTTGCGCAGCCAAATTTGATTTCAAAGGTTAGTGCGATTCTGAATTTGAGTCGAATGTGTGGCTTATTCTGGAAAGTGATAAAGTAGAAGTAAGCATTTGTTAATGTTTTGATCGCTGCAGAACTCCCCTCTTAGCTATCGTATCGCCTTCCATTGTACAACGCTCACAATAACCTTCATTGCCCTTCAGGTTCTCAAGCAAAGACGACAGGAACACATGTGCATGATTCATTCTCGTGCCAATACATGCATTAAATTTGGCCGTGATGGATTGGCTCACAGGACGTTTGCGGCTTAGCTTTATGTCAAGCCTCCAAGTCATTTTGAGGTGTTCCTCTTGGTTCTCGGAACTGTGCTAGGCTGTGAAGGTTATAGCTATGTTTGAGTAGAGATGAACTGAAAAGGCGGCAACCTGAAAGCGCTGTTTTCAATTGGCGCAGTTTTTCTTTATCTGGAGTTCGTTATCGCTAAAATCTATGAGAGTTCTTGCGCGCCAGATAGAAATCATAGTCGTCTAAATCATGGAGCCCATTTCAGACAGCGTACCGCGTGTCGTCAACGATTCCTATCTCTCTCATTCAACAGCGACTGCAACGGCTCATCCCGTTCCGCCCACTTCAGAAGGGAACCGTTTCATCCTTGCTAGCACACCAGTACCACTTCCATTCATTCATGGGTTGTCACTTTTAGGCCTTATTTGTTGTTATATTATTATTATTGTTATTGTTATTATTATTATTATTATTATTGAGACTATTATTAATATTATTATTATTATGTTATTCACAAATAAGAAAAATTCATACATAATAGTTAATACTAATTTGATTTTGACTTGTTTTTGATTGTTAACTGCTGTTTTTGGCCGCAGTTCGCCTTGCGAATGTTTCACAAGAATGCTGGGATGTGAACAAAACGTTCGCCTCAGGCGGGACTAGAACCCGCATCTCTCGCTTTTCGGGCAAGTGCGCCACCAGTTGCACTACCGGGGCACCATTCTAGTACCGTCTGGGGCGAAAGTTTTGTTCACAACCCAACCCTTCTTGTGAAACTATTAATTTGTTAATTATTTCATTTATTGTATAGTTATCAAACATTATTTATTATGTTTCACAAGAATGCTGGGTTGTGAACAAAACTTTCGCCCCAGGCGGGAATAGACAACTCTCGCTCTGCGAG